TACATTTGATCAGATATTAAGACAAAGAAACTCTTAAATTAAAATTTCACAAATTTTAAACGACTTTCATTTCTCATGCCCACATTTCCTGTGTTTTTAAATGGTGACACACAGTCTAGGGTTGTCTCGAGGGGGCATGTAGGGGAAGAAGAATGAAATCACAGAATTATAGGTCCTATCATAACTGGTCAATTAAAAAATACATTCAGGTCTCAGACTTGACATTTGACAAAAATAACTCTCATTTTCAAGAATAGAAAGTGTCAGGGGGTTTTATATCTTCTTATAAGAAATTTCCATCCACTGAATATAAATTTTACTTTTCATTCAAAAACACAACATATTTTGTTACTGAAAACTTCCCAAGAAGGGAGCTATTCTACACACTCTGAGTCACGGTTTTGCTCTGACTGGGAGTCTGTGCTCCCTCGGGCTCTTACTAGAGAGAATTTCTGAAACCGTTAGATCAAAAGGAAATGATCGGAACATCATCTCTGCTTCTCAGGTCTATAGGAAACCGAAAAGCAGTGTGTCTCCAGTTCTGGGTACTACCGCCAGATTCAAAGAACCACCACCATACAGAGCACTGTCAACCTGAAAGCCAGACTCCTTCAGGCCAGAATGAGGAGCTAAGGCCCCGATGTTTACATGATTCTGGAATTTCTCTAGAGGGAAAAGAAAAGCTTGCAAATACAAATTAAAGCACAAACACAGATGCTTATCTAGGATGGAAACCACAAATCCCCCCACACAGGGGACATCTTCACCAGCTGCCCCTTTTCTGTATGCTCTAACTAAAGGGCACTTAAGAGTCCCTTCTTCCTAACACAGATTTCTCTTTCAGCTTGGTCCTAACTCAGGCTCCTTTCAATATGACAAGTGCAGAGGAACTTTAGCTTTTCAAGTTGGTAATAATATGGAGATGTTTAGGACCATCAATGCAGAAAAGTCTCTCACGTTTTTCTACGGGAGCTAGAAAATCTAGGAAAGCTCTCCACAGATCACACTGTTGCCTATCTGCCTTTCACATCTTTGGCTCTCTGCAAATACCCTGCTCACTCACAGCCGCGAGCTACCTACACGACGTGTGCACATGAACTTCAGAATTAGCAGATCCAAGCCAGAACTCCGGGATTCCCATTCCCTCCAGCAGATGACTGTAGTTCACTGAATCGTGAGATTGCTGTGTTACTTCACGGTAGCCGAGACCATGGTGAGTGTTCTGTATCCATCTACTCTCCATTCCTACATCTGATCCTTTACTAAGGGCTCTAATTCCATTCTGCTGCAATGACAAACACTGAACAAAAAACAATGCCAAAAAAAATCTTAGGGCAGGAAAGGGTTTATTTCATCTTACAGCTCGGTTCATCATCGAGGGGAGTTGGGGCAGGAAACCAAGCAGGAACTTGAATCAGAAGCCTTGGAGGAAGCTGCTTGCTGGCTTGGTTACAGAGCCATGCTTAGATAGCTTACCTTTCTCTTCTGACTATGGAGGAGTTATCCATCCTGCTTGTGCAAAAGGGCCCATCTCTTACCTCTATCATTCCACCAGTTCTTCCCTTCCTGTTCCACATCCTCGATACCCTCATAGAGTCATCCCTATAAGCACATACAACATCAATTTTACCGTTAAAAATTGAAACTTTTCTCTTGGTCCAACTCATCTGTCTCCTGGACCATTTCCCTTCCTCCACGGCAACCCTGACTCATCACAGGGTGACTCTTCCCGCTCCCTCTGAACCCACGATAGCTGAGCTTTCTCGTGCAGGACTGCACAGACCAACTCCTTCCCTCCTGCCAGTGTCCTTACTTTGCTTGACCTGTGGACATTAGAAATTGTGGTCCTTCCCTCTCCTTCACTTTCCTCCCTTGTCTCCTAGGTAACCAGACTTTCTGCATTTTTTGATCTCTCTGGCCACTCCTTTTCAGTCTCTTTGCAGGTTTTCCTTGGTGGCTGACTTGTTTTGGGAGAGGTCAGGGACCTGTCCTTTCTCTACACTCCTTTAATAACCTTATCAAGGTTTACAACTCTAAACACCAGCTATCTGCATTGTGTCAGAAATCCTTCTCTCTGCCCTCACCCAGTCCGCAGGAACTTTACCTCCCTACCACCACCCGCTTAGTCATTCCCACTCAGATGACACATGCGCATCTCTGCCTTGAGGAGTTTCCAAGGACCACCCCTAAACCTGCTCTGCTCTCCTGTAAATGTCAACTCACTTTTACAGTCACTCTGGTCCACAACCTGAGTGGCCTTTACCTGTGACTCCCAAAGAGAATAATCATTCTTCAGGAATAACTATAAAAGTTAAAAAAAAAACAGGATATTTTATAAATCCAACTTCACAGAAACTGTACAAGTGCTTTAAAGGTGCTGGAGAGCGGCTGGCGTGGTCAGGGTGGAAAGGACCAGGGTCCCAGGTAGGATTTGAATACAGAAAGTAGTACACAGCTTTCTGTTGTTTTCCCTCCTTGGAGCATTTAAACAAGCACAAAGCCATGACCTGGAGGCTTCAGGAGTCTTTCCAGTATGGGGAGAGAAAAACTACAGTTGAGAACAATGGCCAAGACTTGAAGGGACCAGGCACAGAGATGCAGAGAGTGTGGTGAGGAGAACCTGACAATTCGCTTGACTTTTAGTGGAGTTATCTACTGAACTCTACGCTAGAGAGGTACTAGCAAGCCAGAAACACAGAAGCGACTCGATGGCTAGAGAGCTTCATAGACCTCTCAACAATCTCACGAAGCTGGAAAAGAAATATATACTTAGTTCAAGTTCATCCAGAGATAGGGACCTGCTGAACAACCTTGGCTTTCTGAAGGGCAGAAAGAGCTATGCTTTAGGATAACTGCAGCTAGGAAAACACAACAGAACAACAAAATGCGTCCTCTCCTGCTCTGTCAAATACAGTAAAATCAACGCTTAAGCTGGGGGAATGCTTCAGTTGCTAGGGCACTTCCCCAGCTAACATGCTTGAAGACCTGACTGTGGTCCTCAGCATCTAAATAAGTAATCAGTTTAATCCTCTCTGGAGAAAGATCACACCAGCCAAGGCATTTGGTCAAGTTTTTCTGCACGTTGTGCAGTATTTCCCTGCACCCCTTCAAAGTCATCTTTGGGGTGTGGGGATCTCCTGCTAGGTCTCCCTGCCCATGCTTCGTGCTGGTCTTCTCCCAGTGAAGAAACTGGAGTGTTGTGGTTCTCTTTAATCAAATAGTCAAATTTCTGGTCAAAACTCTTCAGGGCTTTTACGCCTGGAGTAAATGTCCAGGCTTTCACACTGACTGTCAGTGAGACACCAATCTGGTTACTGACTTCATCTCCCCTCGGCTTTCCTCCTCCACCCACTCGTAGTGCTTAGCCTTGTCTTCAAACATGCCTGATGTGAGAATTCTGTTCTCGTTGCTTCCTTCATCTGGAATGTTCTGCTGGTCTTGTTTCCCTGTTTCACTCCCTTCTCATCTTTGCTGGAATGCCACTGCCTCTGCATCCTTCCAAGGTCTTCTCTAACCAGCCTACATCCCTGTCTCCCGAGACCTAGTCTTCCGTGGTTCTTTTTTATGTTTAGTTCTTATACAAATTTTATTCCCTTGTCTTTGTTTTATGATTATCTGCTAAAATACAGATTCCGCAAAGGCAAGAATGTTAACTTTTGTTGTTGTTTTTCACTTCTGTACCTCTCATGTCCAATGACAATGGCATACAGCAGATACTCAAAATCCTTCAACCAAATCATTGTATTCCAGACCATCCAAGGCAATCACAGAACGCAAACATCTATTACTGTCAACTGAGAGAGACTATACAAAAGATTTTATTACCACAAATATATAAATGCTACTATAACCAAAAAAGTTAACCAGATTGCCCTGGGCATCATACAAAGAGAACCAGACTGAGGACACAAACTTATTGAACTTTCGGTAGCTATCATATTATCAATAAATCCCAGCTATGCCTGGGATGGCACCATTGGTTACCCATCCAGTATGCAATCCTTCCTATGTAAGCAACCAACCTGTTCCTCCTTACTCCTGGAAGACAGAACGCTGAAACCCCAAGTTCTCATTCTCTCTGAACTTAGGTGAAACGATTCTTTAATGTTTCTGCTGTTTGCCATTGGCTTCTTGCTCCAAGGGGGCAAAAGCATTCTGGCAAGCTGTCCAACACTTGTAAGAAATAATGCAAACTTTTCTTTAGTTATTTCTACAAATCATCTACAAACCCTTCTGAATTTCTACATCTCAGACTTTTAAGCCTTTGATCACAGCCACTTTTTAATTTATTTATTAGTATATGGGGTGTTATGTGTGAAGCTCGGACAACTGTCAGGAACTGGGTCTCTCCTGTGGGTCTGGGGCTCAAACTCAGGTCTACAAGCTTGTTTTTAGCCCCATCAGAGCCATTCTAAAGGTTCCTTTTACCAGAGGCTAAAACTTTAGCATGATACTCGCTTCAGTGCCACTTTCTCAAAGGTTTCCTCAAAATCAGTCAGATTGTAAGTCTATAGCAGTGTCTGTCATTTACCTCAACCTTTAATGGTACTACTTACACAACAGTCACCGTCTACTTTAAACTGTAGACTACTTTTACCAGATACAATTCTACATACCAAAGCTTCATTAATGCTTTTAATCCTTACAAATCCAAAGGGATAAATTCTATTACTCCCATTTTGTAGATTAGAAAAATAGAGCACGCACGGACAAAATTACCATTTGCTTGCGTGTTGCTGGGCTAGTCCACTGCAGAAGCTCGGTTAGAGCCTGGACAGCGACGAGCTGCATTGAAATTGTAGCTGCAAACCCAAGTAATTAACCACAAGGGATGCATACACTTCACAAACAAAATTCTTAACATCTCTAGCTCTAAAACTAATCCCAAAACACTCCGCTCTTGGGTGCCTGGGGCAGAAAAGATAAAAGCGTAAGGGGGGGGGGGGGAGGAGGTGCCCTGTTTAATCTACAACCTGCCCAGCCCTTTCCCTAAGCTAGGTGGCTAACGGGGGGGTCCAAGTCGCCCTGGGAGCCCTGGGGTTCTCTAACGTGCTGGCCCAGAGCGCAGAGTGGAGAAGGCAGATACGGAATTCACGCCAGGGAGCGGAGGAGGAGCTGGGAAACCGGAGACAGCCCGCCTCCGCCCGGCCCCAGCGCGTAACAGAGCTGCGAGCCCGACTGCCCGGGGCGTGTCACCGCCGAGGAGCGGGAAGCGCTGAGGCGTGGCAGGGCAAAAATCAACGGAGGACGCCCCTGAAAGAGCAAGAGCACGTGGGCCTGCGAGGATGGCGCGGACAGCAGGCCAGCCAGGCGGCGTCCCGCAGCCGGGCCAGACTACCGGACCTCCGCCCCAGTGGCCGCCACCAACACCGCCATGGCGCCCTGGCCCGTCAAGAAGCGGCCAGTGCGCAGGCGCGCCCGGGGACCAGCAGGTGGGCGGGGTCATGAGCCGGAAGTGGCCTTTACTTCGGGCCCCTCCGGAAACTCGGCCGGCCGGAACTGCCTGGAGTTCCTGCCTCCAGGCGGAACCTCACGTTGCTCGGCAACCGGTGCAGGCGCCGCTGACTCGCTCCAGGCTGCCCGAAGCAAGCCTAGAGTAGCGGCTCCCTACTGCGCGGGCCCGCTTGCGTGGCGCCCGCTTCCCCGAGAGCCGTGTCCCCGCGCGTCGCGGCATCCCTGCCCTTGGCACTATTTACACGTCTCCGGCTCCCACGACTCCTTAACCCCCACCTGCCACAGAGCCCACCTCCATCGAAGGGGAGGTGGTTCGACCCCCGACATGGCGTCGGCGATGACGGACCGCAATCCTCGGGCGGCCTCCGGCACCTACACCTACACCAGCAGGCCCCGAGCCGTGCCTTGTCAGCGTCGCCGCTACCGGGACAGCCTGTTGCAGCCGTGAGTGACCAAAGTAGATCCTGTCTGGTCTGCGCTTTGCATCCCATCTGTTTTTCCTTGACTACACGCAGTCAAAACCCCCTGCCCTAAAATAACACAACTATGTGGTTAAACAGAAGCACAGCTGGCCTGAGTCATGATGTGTACACGAACCACCAAACACCACCACACGGGGCGGGGGTATTCTCATACGTATTATTAATCCACAGTTCTGCCAAGTTGGTTTCATCACTCCATCATGCAGACTGGGAAAGTGAAGCACAGAGAAGTACATGGATAGCATATACCAAATGAAAGAGCCAACCACATACAGCTTTTTTCACCCCAGTCTGGGTGGATTAGCCTTCCATGCAGAACCACAAAACATATTGCTACTCTAGTGAATATTTGCTGAATTCAGGCCTGTATATGTAATAAAGACCACGGAGTTTATAGTTCTCTTGGAGTTCTTTCTGTAAGCTTCAACTTTTGAAATAGCAGGACTTAAGAGCGAGAGATTTATGGAAGCAGGCATCTCTGCACCTTTTGTTCACCTTGCCTTACTACACAGGAAGCTCTCAGTGTAAACTGAATTTTAATTCTGGGCCAAGTCTGGCACAAACCTGTTATCCTAACTCACTCAGAAATAGATCAGTAGGATGGCTGAGTTGTTTCTTATAGTTAGTTGATTTTTATGTTGAGATAGTGTGTTTACTAATAGATCAATGTATCAAATTAATGCAGAAATGCATAGTAAAGTGTTTCATGAAAGTAGTTAACAAACCAGAACATATGAGACCCTTACCACAGGAATGGTTACCTTCCATGATAGCCTTATAAATGAATATATTGAGGTGACTGCCATTAGCTAAATTATATAACCATGTCCAAAGAATGAATGTCTTTAGGTCAGTCTGCCTCTGTTCTACAAGGTTCTTAGTCTAATCTTGTTCAGAAGTTTCTCTGTTGACCCTACTAAGTAACTTCTCCAGACAACATATGTCTAGACTGGATAACAATGTGTCGAAAGAGAGTCAAGATTACAGATTATCTTGATGGGTATATGACTGGGCTGAATCCCAGTTTTATATTAGGTATGAGAAGCCAATTTCACCAGCACAAAAATCTCATTTTACTCTCAGAGTAACTTAAAACTTTCAGATTAATCCAAGCCTGATGTGGTTCAAGGGCACCTGCCTTTTTGTAGCACAATAAATTGTAGAACTGAAAGAAGCCATTAGAATACAAGTTTTCTCATTTTCAAACCAGAAGTTTTAGTAGTTTGTGCATCCCTAATCTGGAAATGTGAAACTTTTTTATTTATGGATGAGTGCTCTTTCTGCATGTACGACTTTATGCCAGAAGAGGGCAACCACTATGGATGGTTGTGAGCCATCATGGGAATTGAATTTAGGACCTCTGGAAGAGCAGCCAATGTTTTTAATTGCTGAGCCATCTTTCCAAGCATATGAAACTTTTTAAATGTGTGTGTGTGTGTGTGTGTGTGTGTGTGTGTGTGCTCGCGTACATGCACACTTGCGTACACAGGTGCACAGGTGTTAGTGGAGCCCAGAGAAGGGCATCAGATCCCCTGGAGCTGGAGTTGCAGAGGGTTGTGAGCTGCCTCACATGAACTCTGGGAACCAAACTCTGGTCCGCTGAAGAAGCAGTAGGAGCATTTAGCTCTTGAACCTTAGCTCTAGTCCCCACACCTGAAGCTCTTTGAGTGCCATGATGCCGCAATAGAAAATTCCACATAGGATATTGTATGACTGGTCATAGAATACAGATACACTAAAAATATTGTATACAATTATTGTATATAATTACCTCCAGGCTGTGTATGTAAGGCATATATAAAACATGTTTACATTTGCGTCATATGTGAGCAAATATTCCAAACTCTGAGAAAAAAAATTTGAAATACTTATAGTTCCAAATATTTCAGATAAGAGTTGCATATAATTTGTATTATAATTATGTATTTGTTGGTAGTTAAGTAATCACAAATACATAAATGCAGTAACATTCACCTGTAGGCTTGCGCCAAAACCAAAATATGACATTCTCCTCTGTTAGTAAAGATCATATGAACCTTCTCATAAGTATTTTTAATACAAAGAAATAAAAAACTTGCTCTCTACCTTTTGTTTGATGCTGATCAAATGAAGGTTAACATTATCCTGGTAGTCAGAACATTGTTGGTTCCCTAGAAACGGCCTCACCTTAATCCTCAGAACCTATGAGTTCGCAACCTTGTCTATTCAGATGTTAAGAAGGTAGGTGGTCCTGAATGTCTGGGCAGGGCCAGTGTCATCTCAGTGAGCCCCTTTCAGTCTATTCAGATGTTAGGGTGGGGAGGTTGTCCTGAAAGTCTGGGCGGGGCCAGTGTCATCTCTGGGAGCCCAAACAAATGAAAGGGGAAAGGGACGCAGGGGCTGGAGGAGGATTCTTAGTCACCGCTCTCTGGTGGCTTTGGTCAGAAGTACCCGACAGAAGCCATCATACATCAGACTGAGGAAAAGTTCATTTTGACTTGTGGTTCATCGTAGCAGGAAAAGTGGCATGGTGGTAACGTTGCAGAGAGAGATGAGGGCTGGTGTTCAGCTTGCTTTCTCCTTTCTATTCAGTGTGGGACCCCAGACGTGGAGCGATCCACAGGGCGGGTCTTCTTACCTCAGTTAATCCAGTCCAGAAACTCTCTCATAGACATATCCTGAAGTTTGTCTCCCAGATGATTCTAGATCCTGTCACACTGACAGTATTAACCATCATAGAGGCAAACGCCTGGGGACTGGGGCGTCCTCTAGAGGCTGGAAAAGTCAGCAGAACACTCTTTCCCTGTTGTCTCCAGATGAGTCTTATCCTATAAGACCCTCTGTGGGCCTCTGGCCTCCAGAGTTCTCAGAGAAGAAATGTGTGCTCACTAAAACCATGAGACGTCTCTGTCAGGGGAGGGGTTGTTGTGGATGGAATTATGTCCTTACGTTTTCCTTTGCTTCATACAGAGTCCCCGGTGGTCTCTAGTTGTTTTACCCAGTGCCCCTTTCTTTATCCATTTCCCTGTGAGAACAGTAAATAATTTAGTCTCCAGTGGCTCTGATGGAGTGAGGAAATGTAGTTAGTTTCATAGTTTTATTAGCCACTAACTTCTAATCCTATGAGATGGTTTAAGCAAATAGGTAGTTATAGAAACACGCAGAGAGCGTATGTGGTCCTCTCTGGAGGCAGATGCCTCACTCATCTTCCAGAGGCATTTGGTATCTCTGGCGGCAGTGAGGGAAAGAGAGAGGCCAGGCATACATTGGCTGAGGGCTGCAAGGTCGAGCGAGCAGAGCTTTACCTTTGGCTCCTCTCTTCCCTTGTCAACTCCTGCTCTTTGCCTTCTCTAACAAGGCCTTTTCTTCTGCATTAAGTTTTCTAGATGTATATTTGATCCAATTTTGGTTCATTTTTACATTTTCATACCAGCAATAATACTTTTAGTTTAAATGCACAGGTAAGGCATTGAAGCCCATCCTGTGAGGCTGATCATGCAGGTGTGTTGTTGTATCATCTGCACGGTGGCTGCTCCTGAATCTACTGCAGTTTCAGCTGCAGAGTGCGGCTCCTCATCTCTGTCCCGCTGCCCAGCAGGACTTCTGCTTCCCCCGGGAATCCAGGAACCGCTTCTGACACTACAGCCACATGTAATAAGTCTCTATTCTTCTGTTTTACCAATACAGACTCAGGAGTCAGATACTGGGGTGAAAACCTGCTGGCTCAGAGAGGCCAAGAAGCAACAGCTGACCTTTCTCCTTAGCCAATGACCCAGCAAGAAAGCTTCTCTTCCAATCTCCCAAACCAAAAAAGCTGCCAAACTCAAATTCCTCCTCATTATTGCCTGTGCATTTCTCTGTCCATTTTCCCAGACTCCCTCTTACTCTCTATGCTACTTCCTGTCAACTAGTTGCTGGCGCTGCCTCTTGATCTAAGGTTTTATTTAATTAACACAAACTTAGGGTTCACAGTGTGATCAAATAGCGCACAACACAGACGGATTTGTATAACTTTTTAATTCAGATTTAAAGAGATCCCTGCATGGGAATTGTTCCCATTTATTAAATGCTGCGGTACCAGGTAACCCTTGCAACAGCTCCAGGAAGTAGGTGGCATTACTTTCATTTCCCAAGGGGCAAACCATGTTGTCAGCTTTGTATGCATTTTTCTGTACTTCCTTCCAGGCTCACATATTTATATTCAAATTTATGGCGTCTTATTTATGAATAAACAACAACAGCTCTCTTTGTCTGTCTCTGCCTGTCTGTCTGCTCTCTCTCTCTCTCTCTCTCTCTCTCACTGTGTGTGTGTGTGTGTGCGCGCGCGCGCGCGCGCGCGCACACGCATGCACGCGCACGCTAGTGAACTTTCTGACATTGAACAGGGACCAGAAAACTATCAGAGGAGGGAGAGGATTTATTTCAGCTTCCACTGTAGCTTTTGCTACAAAGAATGAGGTTTGACAAACAACTGTGTGTGCTAGACCTTTTACTTCTGGGGTGTAGGTTCTTAGGAATGTGGTTATTAAGGCATAAATATATTTATGTGAATGAATACACTGTACCTGTCCTCCAAGAACACTTAAGCCTACACATTGCATCCACATCAACAGCCGGTGTCATGGAGTGTTGTTTCGGCAGTGCCAACCCCGTGTTTCCCTTACTGTGGTGAGCAGTAGGAGGCGTTAGCCGGCTCAGAACCGCTGCTCTTCTAAATGCCGCTGGTCTCAGTGGACATAGAAGAAATTGAGAAGAAATTTTGTTCTGGTCAACTGAAAGAGGACTTCTGGTGTCCAGGTAAAAGACAGGGATGTCAGTTGAGCAGCAGATGGTGTAAGAAGACTGGGGCATGGAGTCAGAAATTCCTGCTAGCTGTAGGGATGGAGAAGGGAATGTGGTCATGCATGACTCCCAGCATTCTCGAGTAAGTCACAACTGTGGTCACTGGAACCATTTAGTCAAATAGAAAGCACTTGAAGTAATAAGCTGGCATGGGAGAAGAAAGGTCAGCATTGAAACTGCCTTCTAGACATCTTAGTAAGGTATCTCTAGGCAGCTGGATATGCCTGGAGTTGAGTACTGAATTAAAAAAAAAATAAAACTGGCGTGTGGGTCATGAGTGAAGCTTTGTTGGTGGACAGAAAGCTGAGCCTTTAGGAAGTCTAGCTAAGTAGCCAGGAAACAGCTCTGGAAGCAGTGCATAGGGCTGAAGAGAGAGCCGTCCCATACAGGAGCTGGCACAACCTGAGACCAAGTAACACGGACAGGAAAATATGCTCGTGTGTTCAGGAGAGGCTTCAGTCTGCAGCAGCTCAGCGCCCCCCGGGCAGCACTGATAGCGTGTCAGGTGTAGGCTGAGGGTGGGCCTCACAGCTATGGACAGCTGTGCACTGACGGCCTCGAGGGCCAGCTCTGGGGCTGTGCTCTTCACTCTCATTTCGGCTCCCGATATTCAAATTTGCTGACATTTCAGCAGCACTTTTAGCTTGGAAGAACAGTGCGAAGTCTGCCTTTCCTTCTGAAACCTGATCTGTTACTAAACACACATTTCAGTCCCTGAGTGGGACTTTTTTTAGTCTTTTGTAACACACTCTGATTCATTGGCTCTATCTAAATAAAATTTGTAAGGTCCAGCCATATAGTAACTGTTATATAAATGATAGCTGTCTGTCTCCTTATGTTATGACTATACTACAGTTTCTTTTATACATTTTAAATATTTTTATTTTATGTGTACACGTGTTTTATCTGCATGCATGTGTGTGTGTCAGATTCTAGAGACACAGAGTCCCATGAAACTGGAATTACAGATGGTTGTCAAATGCCATGTGAGTTCTGGGAACCAAATCCAAGTACTCTGGAAGAGCAAGAGATCTTATCTGCCATGTCTCCAGACCCTACAAAATATGTTTAATCTAAATTCTATTGAAATAGGTTCACTTAATGCATTCAAATAATATACCATTCACTTAGAATTTTCTGTTTTACAGAGCTGAAGAACCTTTGAATTACGGAAACATAATGTATGACAGAAGGGTGATCCGAGGCAACACCTATGCACTCCCCACGGGACAGGTGGTAAGCAGTCTGAGTGGTGTCCTCATTACTTCCGCTATTGTAACAAACACTGAGAGCAGACGTAGTTAGAGAAGGAAAGGTTTACACTTCCTTATATGACCTACACTTTGGGTAGCAACCTAGCATTCAGGACAGTCAGGACAGGAGCTCAATCTTACACAGCCTAGGGTTGGTACCTCCCACAGTGGGCTTGGCCCCCACATCAGTCATTAGTCAAAACAGTCTTGCACAGACAAGGCCCCAGGCAAATCCAATCTGGGTAGTTTCTCAGTTGAGCTTCTCTCTTCCCATCTTACTCTGGTTTTATGTAAGTTGGCAATAAACTCTAACCAGGACAGTTGTCTAACACAACTTCCATGTTATCTGTGCTCAAGGATCAGTTGTATGTTTGTGTCAAATTTTGATCTGTCACCTAAAACATTTATAAAACAAAATAAAAAATTACTTGAAGAGTAAATTTTTTTAAATACATAGAAGCTGGAGGTGTGGGTCATGATAGAGTAGTTGTCTAGCATGTGCAAGGCTCTCAGTTCAGTCTCCAGCACTGCACCCTGAAGTATGTATGCATGCATATGCATATAGTATGTGTGTATGTGCATAGATATGTGGGTCCAATAGCTCCCATACCTGGGTCTGTGCCAGCACCATCTGGAGCCTTCCCCCTTGCCCCAGTCTCCTGCATTAGGACCTCTAGTGCTTGAACACCACACTATGCTTTATTTTCCCCAGACAGACTCACTATCAGGACTGTGTGCTTTCTAACAAGCTTCTCTAGACACTTAGGTCCAGCCAGTTCAGGAAGATCCACACATGGGGTCTAGACATATTGTGTCATTTTGTTTAGCAGTACAATGACTTCTTTAGTCCAATAATCAGCACCTTACTGTAGAAATCTGCCCTAAAGCTTCCTGTTGCTCCTTGTTAGGACTAAAATCCCCTAAGACACACTCCAGAAACCCTAAAAGGCTCGAGGAGGGAAGGCTGCAGCCTGACCAGGGACTTTGAGGCTCAATTGAAAAGCAGCACAGCCATGTGTTCCCAGATTTCCTCTCTACCTCTCCTGAAACATGCTCATGATACTGGAGAAGCACATACCACCAGCCCGCAAGCACAACCCTGAGGGGAAAAGGACAGCCTTGCAGATTCCATACCTCAGCCAGACACTCTCTCAGTACCAGTGAGTCTGGGCAGAGTAGGGAGCACTTTCATTCCACATACAGAGCAAGACAACCCACATCCCACATACTCAGCAAGAGTGCAAAGCCAAACCCTACTACTCCACATTTTGAAGCACTGCCCACAAAAGTAGAGCAGAAAGCTGAATTTCTACCTTCACACAGCCTCAGTGAGGTATGAGGTAGGTAGAAGATGGCAACACAGGTTGGTGCCCTGCTTTTTCTGAGTGCTGGTAACAAAACCAGTGTGGAGCTAAATGTATTTTTATCTAATAGTAATAAGGAGAAACAATATGGTAACAATAGGTGCTGCAGCCCTTCCTACCCCTGCCACATCCAAAAACCAGCGTCAGCAGAGCTATGCCCCACCCAGTACCTTTAAGTAGAACCTAGCAAGGAGTTAGACTCCCATTCCCTCCAAACATGTACCTACTGCAAAAACAGTGATCTCCTACTGAAAAGATTAAGTAGTACCTGAAGTCCCACTACATAGGATTCCAAGTCTCCAACAACAAAAAAAAAGGTACTCATCGCCAGGCAGTGGTGGCGCACACCTTTAATTCCAGCACTCGGGAGGCAGAGACAGGCAGATCTCTGAGTTCAAGGCCAGCCTGGTCTACAGAGTGAGTTCTAGGACAGGCTCCAACGCTACACAGAAAAACCCTGTCTCGAAAAAAAAAGTTACTCATCATAAAAACCAGGATAGTCTTTTATGAGATAAAGCAATCAAGATGACAATACATGAGACTCAGATGTAGGAATTATAAGATGTTGGAAATATAAAGCAGTCAAAATTATCTTGACCAGAAGTGAAAAATTATGAATATTTTATACAAACAAATAAGCAACTTGGCAGAGAATATAAAAATGGACCAAATGGGAACTGTAGAACTGAAAACCAAAGCAGAGTAAAACACTCACTGGACTGTCGCGTAGAGCATCAGAGACGGCCCGGGAAGAAATTAGTGACTCAGAAGAAAATAAATCACATGGGGGCAAAGCTATTTGAATAAATAGTGCAGGAAAAGTCTACAACCTTAATGACAGACTTAAGAGCCAAGAGATCCAGGACACAGTAAACCCCAAGGAGAATTCAAGTCCATGCCAAACCTCATCAAAATCTAACTTGGGAAAACTGAGTTGGAAGGAGCTGGAGAGAAATGATGAGCTAACTGAGAACATCACTGCTGTTCTGCTAGCAGGTTCCCACGGGGAGCTTTCATTGGCCCATGTCAAGCTGTTCGTTTGGGCTCAAGACATTTGTTCCAGGAGGTCGTGCTATAGTCAGAGGTGATCACTGCATTCAGAGTGAACATTTGAATCTCCTATATAAAGGCAGCAGGAAGGCAGATGCTTGACTGACTAGGTGGAGCTATGTCTTAGTTGACCAGTGGTCACTGGAAGGAGCAGTTTTAGATGGGATATATTATTGAAAACATGTAAGAGTAACTGAGCCCCAAACGTTAGACATTTTAAAACTAGATGCCAGAGGGGGAATGTACCTCAGCAATAGAGTATTTGACTAACATGCATGGGGCTGTGGATTGATTCCTAGGTCTGAAAAACAAAAATAGATGCCAAGTCAACATTGTAAGTTGCTATGTTGTAACTTATTATGTAAGTACTATGCCCATAGAAATTCAAGAAAAAGAATGCAGAGAATTTCAAAACAATAAACAAATAGAAAACAAAAATGACAGCCTACACCCTATCATGTGATATGATCTTATCAATGGTTTTGTTAAATATAAAAGGTCTGAATTAAGTAGTTAGAAGTTAGCAGAGATTATAAACATAATCCAACTACATTCTATGTGTAAGGAAAAATCTCTTTAATTGTAATTAGGTCCAAAGTAAAATTATGGAAGAAGATATAGTATGCAAACTTTAATTCTCATATTTATATAAAGACTTATATTTTTAGTTATGTGTATGTGTGTGAGTGTGTACATGAGTGTAGGTGCCCTAGAAGGTCAGAGCCACCAGGTGCTAGAGTAAAGGTGCTTGTGAGCCACCTGAGAGAGATGCACAGATACACCATTTGATTAGACAGTTTTACTCAAGATGTCAAAAATACAAAGCAGAAAAATAGTATTAAAAACTATAAAAGGAAAACAACTCACCTACAAAAGCAGACACATCAGAAAAACATCACAGCCCTAATGGCCAGGAAGCATGGAGGGTATAGTTTAAACCCTGAAAGAAAATAACTACAGCCAAGACCGCTGCCCCCAGGAAATCCATCACTAGAGTGATGAGGAAATGAACCATGTGAGGACACTCCAGCACTTCAGAAGATACCTAGAGCACTGTCCTCAGTGGAGGAAGAATGTCTCAGTTACCAGAGCACATTGTAAATCTTGTGTCGGGTAGACTGACGACAGAGAGCTAGGAAGGAGTCCATCAGGTCCAACACAGTAAACAAGAAAATCCTATAGTAATTTATACAGACCTAAAACCAACACAGCAGCCAATAAAGTCACAAATACTAGCAAACATCCCTCAATAACCTCTTATGTAAATGGACTCAACTCACCAGTAAAGAGTACTGGCTGATTAGATTGAAAAAATAAAAACAAGTTCCAGCTATCTGTTACTTCCAAGAGACAGCTCACGGATCGTAGACCACAAACCAAAGGATGGAAGTCAATTTAGATAGAAGCCAAAAATCAGTTGGCATAGGTATTTTTTCTGGCAGGTGATAAAGTAGACTTCAGAATGAGCTAGAAGAGATGAAGACCACTGCGCATTAGTAAAGGGGACAGTCCACTAAGACATAACAGTCGTAAATGCAAATGTGTGTGCACCAAACGTTACATAAAGCAACACTAACACGGAGAAGGCCTGCTGCAGTAATAATAGGCATCCTTGGTGCCCACTCTCTCCAAACTAGAAGTCAACAGACTTCAGAGTTAACTGTGCCATGGATCAAATGGGTCTAATGTTGACAGAATATTCCATCTAACAAAGGAGCACGCACCCCCTCAGCAGCTCCTAGAACCGTCTCTAAAAGAGACCACTTTCTAGGTCGCAAAGAAAGGACTAAGCCAGGCAGTAGTGGCACCTTTAATCCCATCATTCGGCAGGCAGAGGCAGGGAGATCTCTGTGAGTTTGAGACCAGCCTGAGCTATAGAGCAAGTTCCAAGACAGGACAGGCTCCAAAAAAGGTAAGGACTAGATGGAATCACTGCCAAATTGTATCAAACCTTGAAGAAAGAGCTAACCAATTACATTCTTAACAGTACTGAAAGTCCTGTGGAATCGCCACAGACCCTAAAATGCCAAAGCAATTCTATACACAACGGGCAGAGCACTTGAGGAGGCTGAGGCTAACCTGAGCTACATAAGGAGACCTTGTCTCAAAGGAACTGAGGGGAAGAAATCAAATGGATCATGGATTTAAATGTGAAATATAAAACTTGTAGGAGAAAACCTCCATAACCTTGGGAAGAGTGAAGAGCTTGCATGGCCTGAGAGGGCAGCATGCACAGAAACAAAGCTGGACTGATGAAAAGCCGTGTACGGATGTAGAAGGGCAAGCTCCGAAACAGTACACATCACATTTCAACAGACAAGCTGCACATCTGACCAGTGTCTTATGCTGAAAATATGTAATTCTCAAAGCGTGAAAGCTAAAAACTATGCAAACCAAATAGAACCTATCTATTGGAAGTCGAGAGCAGAGGAACATACTGATGACAAGCCCGGCAGAAGACGTTGAGCATTAGCCATGGGGAAATGAAATTTTAAGCTATTGTGATATACTTACTATACACTTATTCCAATACTAAAGTTTAAAAATTGGCAATAAGGGCTTCAAGGGTACATAGCAAATGGAAAGAAATATTCAAACCTACAGTTGCGTCTATGTGTATCAAATAGACATGAAAACTTACCTTTGCATATGAGCCTGTGTGTGAATATTCAGAGCAACTTCATGTGTTTTGTAAAGATACTGAAAGTGTATTCTAAATGGTTTTCTTTCCCATTAGGTAAATGTTTAAAATCAAACTAGTGTGTTCATCCAGCCAACTTGTACTACTCAGTGAAGGCAGAGTTGGGGGGTGGGATACTGGAGAGGCCCAGGACTTAAGGGAACCTGACTTTGGTTCCTAGTGCCGATGTTGGGTGACTCATAACTACTTGTAACTCCAGCTCCAGGGGATCCAGGGCCCTCTTATAAACTCCTAGTCTGTGGACTCACATATGTGCATAATTAAAAATAAAAATATCTTTAAACAAAAAGGGGTAAGCAGTTAGGTTATTGGCACATGGTACAACCTAGATGACTCTCAGGGAAGTGCTTTGTAAAAGCAAGTCATGCTCAAGGAGTTATCTGCTGTAGAATTCCTTATGCATAACAGTTAAAAACATTTTTATATAACTAATAGGATTTTCCGTATTCCCAACTCAAAAAAAAAAATGACACACGTGCTTGTTGTGATAATCTGATCTCTGCACATTGTATATGTGTGTTGAAATGTCACACTGTGACCTGTAAATAAATACAACTGCTTTATGTTGACTAAAAATAAAAACATGGGGGCCAGGAGATGTTCAGTCAGGTTTTCTTTTCATAATTGTCTTGACTTAAAATGGACAGTATTTTCAGCCTCTAGTCAGCTTTTCTGTTGACTTGAAGAAGCTTTCTTTGGACCCAGGGTGTTTTCTCCTTGAACTGATGAATATTTTAAGGGAAATCTATTCAATTGAATTCAGGTTTTAAAAAGTGCTACTAGTTTTTCATTTCTTAACTATTCACCAAAGTTTACTGTAACAGAATAAATGCATCCGTTTTACTAGGCACCAGAGGCGCTGATGGTAAAAGTGGTTGGTTGAGGAAAACCAAGTGATTAGCTAGAACTCTACACCCATGTGTCCCAGTGTGGATTTGCTGTTAGTTTGTCATCACCTGACCACACCCCCAGTCACCAGGAGGCGTCAGCTGACACATGCTTTGGTATTAGCCCAAAATGCTTTGTCAATGGCAGTGGCTGCCTGCTCTGAGAACTGCTGTCTGGTGTTTCTAAGCCTTGTCTGTCCCTCTCAGCCCGGACAGCCTGATCCTCTAGAGCTTCAGCGACAGCAGCAGGCCAGGAGGAGGGCTCTTGCCAGAAAGCGTGCCCAAGAGCAGCTCAGACCGCGAACACCTGAGCCTGTGGAGGGCAGAAAGCACGTGGATGTGCAGACAGGTACCTGACCATGCCGCTGGCATCATGGCTCACGAGCTGTTCATGTCAGTCCACTGGAACTTACATTTTCTTTCCTTTCTATTATTTATGGATCTCCTGTGTGTATCTGTCTCTCCCCAGAAATATGGTAGGGAAGTCTGTTCAGTAAGCAGCTACATAGAACACATGTTGTTATAATGTTGAGAGAGCTAGAAGTAAGGATTTGGACTTGATAAGAGTTTCCTAACTACTAATTCTCTCAGCCCTTCCCTCATAATATATGGCTGTCTTAGTTAAGGTTACCCCTGTTGTGATGAAACACCATGACAAAAGCAAGTTGGGAGAAAAGGGTTTATTTGATTTACACTTCCATGTGGCAGTTCACCACTGAAGGAAGTCAGGACAGGAACTCAAACAGGGTTGGAACCTGGAGTCAGGAGCTGATGCAGAGGCCATTTAGGGGTGCTGCCTACTGGCTTCCTCCCAGTGGCTTGCTCAACCTGCTTCCCACCAGCCCACAGATGGCCTCACCCACAGTGGGCTGGGCCCTCCCCTATCAATCACTAATTAAAAAAATACCCTACAGGCTTGCCTACAGTGGGTCTTATGGAGGCATTTTGTTAATTGAGATCTCCTCCTCTCAGGTGCCTGTGTCAAGTTGACAAAATTAGCACAATTTCAAAGTAGCATTATTACTCACAACCCAACTTAAGTCACTTTTCATCAAGACTGATGAGAGCTTCGCAGCTCTGTGTGGACATTTGACTTGTCTGTCCAAAAGGTGACCCCACTCATATGTAGTCATCTGCCTTTCACACTGACCTCTCTCCCTTACTCTCCATGGCTACACATCAGGTGCCCCTAAAGCAGGCTCCAGGGGTCACTGCTTTGCGCACTGTGCTTAGCTAGGCAGACTGTCATTACTGAATGTGTGAGCAGCAGATGAAGGTCTGAGTAAATGTGTTGTAGGCATGGGCACGACCACGTCAAGGACCAATGCTGTCTGTCCATTCTTCATTCCCTCACTGCCCCTAGTCAGTTTCCAGGACCAAGCCATGCTGGACAAAGCATTTCCTGTTGACAGACCATGGTAAGCTGACAGTACTTGGTTTTTCCATAGACTAATGTGACTTGAGATTCTTCTACCTAGTGAAAACTATGAGCAGATTCACCAAGGTTATTTGGAGTAAAAGCAAAAAGAATAAACTTCCCCTGCCCTTGAGCCAAGCCTAGCATGAGTGCCAATGATTAGCCATCTTTGTGATTCTAACAGCTAAGGTTTAGCTTGGTCCTTGATGTGTCAAAAGCTATAAATGTGGCCAACACAAAACTGTAAACTCAAAGCATGAAAGGTTTTACTAATTTTTTTTTGTACCTCGATTGTGCGGTCTTAAGCATTCACTTTGTAGATGCCACATCATGTCATAACCACAGAAGACTGGACACATAATATTCATATGATTTGAATATTAAATGATCCAGCCCCTACTTCCTATTTACTGTTGCCTCTGACCCTTTACCTGTGATTTTCTTATGTTAAAAAAGAGTCTATGTGGCAAGTAACTTTGATCCTTTTTACACATGAGAAACTGAGGGCAGAGAGCTATATCCTGGTTGGATCCTGTGTTCAGCATTTGACACTAGTGTTGAAGTCTTCATGTGGTACCACATTGCCCTGCCTCATCAAGTTATTAACATGGCATTATTTATTAAAGTGTTAATTTCTAAACTGTGCGTAGAGAATACCAAAGAGCAGTTTGGTTTGATGCATGATTCTTCAAACCCCAGGCACTTAACACACATTATAGCAAATCTTGTATTTACTAGAGATGCAATCTCTTGCTGTGGATCCTGGGTTGGCCTTAAATGTGTGTCCCTCCTGTTTTTGCCTCCTGAGGGCTGGGGTTGCAGTTATGTGCTACCATGCCTGATAACTTTTCTATTTGTGGCAAGTTGACATTTCTCAAGTATGTGAATGCCTTAAATAAACCATAGTTAATTGTAAACCCACAACCCACAGTACATAATGTTCTTCCTAGAATTATACCTTGAAGAGATTGCTGACCGCATAGTTGAAGTGGACATGGAATGCCAGACGGATGCATTTCTGGATAGACCACCAACACCACTCTTCATTCCTGCCAAAACTGGCAAAGATGTGGCCACCCAAATACTAGAAGGAGAGGTACAGTATATCCTTCTGACTTCCCTCTTTCTTCAAAGAGGATATAAGTCACTTGTGGAATGCATAACTTTTATGAAGGGATTACATGTTTAAAAATTCTGAATGGCATTTTCATCTCCATGTAGAATGCATGAATAGGTCAGTTAATGGAATAAAAAGTAATGACTACATGAATAATGGAGTAGAGAAGTGCAAGAAATTTTTTGTCATTAAAATTAGGAGACAAAGTTAGTTTTCAGTCACTGTGTAGAAAGTTTTGATGCTGGACGTGAATCACTTCAGATGTGTACTATTCTTGGTCCTTAGTCAGTAAACGTTTAGCAGAAAAAAACAGATGATGAAAGACAGGGACGTTTCTCTTTAGTTTCAGAGTTCTATCTTAAAATCATTGAGAGTTGGAGTTCATATTGATAAAGGTAGAGTTTTTTATTATTTTCACTTAGTAGATTTTTGCCTATAATGAGAAGACTCTTCTGTGTGCCTTGTAGGGCTGCTTTGAGAATGCAAACACACAGAGTGTCTGCAGAGCCTGACACAGACTGCACAGCCATCTCCTACTGGCTTTCTCTTACACATTTGGTTCAAGATTCAAATTTTGTTTGCTTTCTTCTGTGTTTAAGCTCTTTGACTTTGACCTTGAAGTCAAACCAATGTTACAAGTTCTGGTGGGGAAGACGATTGAACAGGCCCTCCTGGAAGTCATGGAAGAGGAGGAACTAGCCAATCTGCGGGCCAATCAGTACGCATACGAAGAAATCCGCAACGTGGAGCTGGCTGAAGTGCAGCGGTTGGAAGAGCAGGAGAGACGGCACCGAGAAGAGAAGGTGGAGCTAGGCAGCCTGTCTGTCTGTCTGTCTGTCTGTCTGTCTCTCTTACTTCCTCTCTCATTTCTTTGGGAATGGACCCAAGGTCTTCCATCCTTTATATATGGTACCCGAAGCTGATCGTTAGTCTTTTGGCTACTCAATACATTAAATTCAAGCTTATATAAAACTGGTGGTCTTTTTAAATACATGTGAAGAAGATCTACAATATTTGTTGCTCAGATCTCTCTTGCAGATCATAAATCTGTCATTGTTGACTTATATGTTGTAAATCCCACCTTCTATTAATCTACCTTAGTCAGCTTCCAATGAAGTGCAGGTCCTATATTACATGTGTCCAAGCTGGATGGTGCTCTTAAATATCTAGAGCTTCGGAGGAGCGTTAGAGAAAGGAATACCTTGATTTGCCATCATCCGGCAGCAGAGAGATGAAAGGAAGGAAAGAGGTTCATGGGGGTAATCAGCGGAGATCTGAAGAGAGCGCTAAGTCTGTCTCTCGGTGGCCAGGCCCTGGTTTCCAAAGTATGCTTTATGAATCTTCAGTAAGAAAAGTTGTATAACTCATTTTAATATTTAACAGAAAAATCTATATTGAATCATATTTAAAGGTCTTTCTAGTATTGACAGTGGCTGCTACCCTTTGTTATGCACTGAAACAAAGCGTAGTGCCAGAGTACTTAAACCAAAGAGAATGATTTCCCAAAGAGCCCAAATTACTGTAAAGAAAAGTACATTTGCTGGAAAATTATACTCAATACTTAATCAACTGGATTTTGTATCTTCTTCCAAAATTACTAATTATTTATATGAAGAACATAGGACTCATAGTGAGGCATGTTCCTGTGCAAATCTTTGCTTGCATATATAAAATAGATACTTTCTGCAGAAACTACATTGAAATAACAAAATTATCAATGTGTGTGTGTGTGTGTGTGTGTGTGTGTGTGTGTATGGGAAGACCCTAGAACATAAGTCATCTAGATTTGTATATGTTTTTAAACCTTGAAAATAGAGTATTTAAAAATATGTTAATGCTCCCACTTTTATATAGGCACATTGAAAAGCATTCTTTAGCTTTGTAGATGTGATTGACCTAAAGGAGACAACCACACACAGCACAGCAAGCTTCATGACCTTCCAAGTCATTTCAGTTTTATTAATTCAAAGAGGTACTAGGCATTTACTGGGTAAAAGGCGATTATCTCACCTGAGGAAGTCTCTGAGCCCTTAGCAGGAGACATAGCCTCACTCCTGGTACTAAACACAAGTCAAACCATCGGCTGGTGTTCTTTGATGGAAGATTCGTAAGGATAAAATTTCATATTAGTACTACTTTATGATGTTACTAATAAAAACACGTTATTATCTATTATAGTTGTTTTAGACAAGGTCTTCCTGTATAACCCAGGAGAGCATTTAACTCGCCATTCTGCCCTGCCTCAGTCTCCCAAGTACAGGGATTAAAGGCTTGTGCTGCTGCGTCCAGCTGCCATTATCTTTTTAATAGCATGCATACAGTTAAGTGTAGAAGTTAATTTACTTGAACATGGGTCAGGAGATGAGTTTTTCCTTAGGTTCCTTTATTTCTCCATAAGCTCAATGCCCACTGGATGCTCAAACATTCTGTAGCACAGTGAGTCCTTGCAGACATCCTGCTGAGCACTTTTGACAGCTGTAGACTCTTCTGCATACCTGGCCACACTAGCTCCAGCACTTGGGAGGGTGAAATAGTCAGATAGCCACATGCAGTGACATCTTTCTCTTGACAGGAACGCCGTAAGAGACAGCAGTGGGAAATCATCCATAAGCACAATGAGACATCACAGAAAATCTCAGCTCGTGCGTTTGCACAGCGGTACTTGGCTGACCTCCTCCCGTCTGTCTTTGACAGTCTCAGGAACAGTGGCTACTTTTATGATCCAATTGAAAGAGGTCTGTGGAGATTTTTGTTATATTGACTGTTACACCAGGAATATTCTTACTGCTTCAAATTTATTTTATATGTATGATCACTGCCCTAACAGGCCAGCCTCAAACTCATGATCCTCCTTTTTCTCCTGGGTGCTGGAAGCACAGGTGTGCGCCACTATGCGTGGCCTCATAACCGTTTCGATTCTAAACTGGAATTTTATATTTCTGAAACAAAAAGTTATAGTTGTTTAAATGTTGTTCATAATAAGTATCATGCCCCTAATTTTGTACCATTAATAGATATCAAAAGAAAATTTAAAATATTTAAAGTAGTATATTAAATTTCTTTAGGATATTAGCTTCTCTATTAAGAAGCAGGATTATATATTAGAAAGTGCAATGGACTTGATGTCAGAACATGAGTTTAGGTCCCAGTTTCATCAGCTTTTTGACTTTCAGTTGCCTCATGTTTGAAATGATGAATTTTTTAGGAATTAAATCATAAAGTACATAAAATTTCATATACATAGATTTATTCTGTAAGTTCTGTTTCTCTAGAGAACCTTGGCTACCACATATTTTGGCACTAGATGTGGTTCTAGAGCAACAAAAGTATAAGGATGGATTTTTTAAGTATCTGGATCATTCCAGGCAGTGGTGGCACAGTCCTTTAATCCAGCACTCGGGAGGCAGAGACAGGTGGATCCCTGGGTTTGAGGCCAGCCTGGGAGTATCTGCAGCAGATTTTCCAATTGCCAACAGTTATGGTTACTAAAGCCTCTCTCAGAAGCTTGGCGAGCAGCAAACACCTGTGGTGTGAGTGTTCAACAGACTTTTCTAGACAAACGCGTTCGACTAACCTACTGTGAGAAGCAAAGAATTTAGTGACACTGTACATGAAGCTCTGACATTTTGTGGAAAAAATAAGAAAAATGATTGTGCTGGTTGGTTGCCCCTAGCATGGCTGGATAAATTAACAAAACAGTAGGTCGCATGATAAAATTCACCTACTGCTAGCATCTCAGGTAATGGAGGAGAACAATGAACTCAGTGATAAAATTGACTGGTCGAGATGCATAGTAAAGTCTCGAGGTTTCTAAGTATGCGCTGGGAGAGAATCTTTTCTCCAACAGTCACAGACGCAAGCTGCAGAAAATCAAACCGATGCCCTCATTATACAATTGGCTGAATTCAGCAACAATTCAAGTGCCAGCTTCAGGCTGCTGGTGGCCAAAACACAGGCGCTGATTAGTAATGAATGGCATGCTGCCACTTTAGATGAGATGTATGGGACTGAACTCTTGCATTCTCCAGCACTTATGTCCACTGAGGATGTGTCTGCACCCTTAGCAGAAGATGTAGCCTCACTCCTGGTACTATACCTGTACAAGTCAGGGTTCTCCAGAGAAGCAGGGATGATAAATAGAATGGATCTCTGTATATAAAAATGGTATTTGTCAGAGTGGCTCATCCAGTAAGGAGTTTGGTCCACGAGGCCGGATGTCTCATCTTGTCTGAAGTATACATCGGAATCCTGAAGTAGACTCTAATGCCAGGGAAGGATGAACTTGCCAGTGAGTGGGAGGGCATGCGGACAAAAAGCCAAAGCTTCCTTCTTTCATGTCCTTTGTATATGTTGCCACTAAAGGTTTTAGGTGGGTCTTTCCACCTCAAATAATCCAATCAAGGAAAGCTCCCTCACGGGTGTAATTCCAGATGTGGCCAGGTGGATGATGGAGAACAGCAGCTTAGCTGTTTAGTGTCCAGCTGCCGTGGGACTGCAGCACCAGTGTTCTGCTGCCATTCCACCTTGTGCTCTAGCTAGGCGTGTCAGTCAGCCGACACTGTGACAGAACACCCGGGCTAATCATGTAAAGGATGAAAGGTTGCTTTTAGCTCAGGGTTCAGGAATTTCAGTACAGATCCACACAGAGTTGTTTGACTCCATTGTTTCTGGGCCTCTGTGGGAAATCGAAGCTGTTCCAGTAAACAAAACCGGCGGGTGGTGGGGGTGGCACACGCCTTTAATTCTAGCACTTGGGAGGCAGATGCAGGTAGATCTCTATGAGTTCGAGGCCAGCCTGGTCTACAGAGCTAGTTCCAGGACAGACTCCAAAGCAACACAGAGAAACCCTGTCTCAAAAAAAAAAAAAAAAAACAAAAACAAACCAGCACACACTTCCTCAGGTAGGCCCCACCTCCCAGCACACCATCAGCTGAGAACTCTAAGCTTTGGGGAAATAGTTAAGATCCAAGCTGTAGAACAGACTTCTTACTATTGGTCACAGATAACAGTAATGCTTGTTTTTGTTTTGTTTTGTTTTTGTCTGTTACATAGTTTAAAGCTTGAAAATAAAAATCTTGCCTGAGATATGTCATATATAATAACAAATACTGTATTCTATCATTCTCTATTAAATAGATTCTCCTATTAAATAGATGCCTAAAAACCAACTTGAAACTTTGAGTGTAGATTTAATGGGCAGTCTTGATAAAATGCTTAACACAGTGAACTTCCCACTGAAGTTGGAGCAAAGTTCCTACGAATAAAAGTGCTTAGTCTCCACCGCAGCAGCAGTGCTTCCCAGATGGCCCCTTCCCAGAGTCCCTTTCAGCTGGTCAGAGGACGAAGTCTCTTTCCCAGCAATGCCCGTGCCCAGGCTTTGTCCCACTTCAGCAAAGGTTTCCAAGATCAGCATCTTCTCTCTGCCCTTCCTCCTTGACCTATCTCAAATTGTGCTTGTGGGCCCAACTGTATTTTGACTCTGGAAAACCTCATGATTTGTAAAATACCATTTCTACTGTAGTAGAAGGGAAGTTGAGCAAAGCATATATAGAGAATACGGCAAAAGTGATGCTGTGTGAGTCAGTTTAATGTTTTATGTTGAGAAGATGGTGCTGCTGATCATTACATTGGGAAGACATACTAATGATTTGCAGAAATGCTTAATGAAATTCTTTATTGCAGACATTGAAATAGGATTCCTTCCATGGCTAATGAATGAAGTTGAAAAAACCATGGAGCACAGCATGGTGGGAAGAACCGTGCTTGACAGTAAGTTACTTTATATAAGAGCTGTTCCTAAACTTCTCAGTGGGGACGAATAAGTGAGGAAGGAACATTAGTGTTGGTGGTGCTTCTTAAACTTGGTTAATCAGTTGTACTGAAACAAGGGTGCAGTTTCCACCCTCTGTAATTTCATCATGGAATATTTTGTTGTTGCTTTGTACTTGGTATTCAAAGAAGCAAAGAACATAACCTGCTCAATGCATTAATTGATAGTTGTTGTATATGGTAAATTTATAAAGGCTAATGGGAATTGATAGTTGTATATGCTAAATTTATAAAGGCTAATGGGAAGGGGAAAAGGCCTAAGTGGTACTTTCTACTCATTTATGGGCGGTGATAGCACACACCTTTAATGCCCATAGTCAGGAGGCAGAGACAGGTGGATCTCTGTGAGTTCGAGACCAGCCTGATCTACAAAGTGAGTTCCAGGACTACCAAGGCTACACAGAGAAACCCTTTCTTGAAAAAATAAAAACAAAAAACAAACAAAAACAAAACAAAACAAAAAAAACATAGTTTCTACTTATCTAAAAGGAAAGTATGGAAACTCATAATGACTTCTGAACCTTTCAGTGTTGATCCGTGAAGTGGTTGAAAGAAGGCTAAACAATTACGAGCGCAGGGAAGACACACAGCCCTCTATGAGGTTGGATGATGTGCTTAGTGGCCCTGACACAGTGACAGAACCCTCGGTGAGTTTAGAGTTACAGAAGTCAACCTTACCCCCCACCCAGAAGCCACCTTTAGAAAGAGACTCCTTACAGAAAATACCATTCCAAGAAAGGAAGCCTGTGGAAGAAGGGGAGTTCTTGTGGCGGAATGACCCAACAGAAATAAAGGAGTCTTTAGGGGAGGAGCTGTCACAGCCAGAAGAATCATGGGAGTCAGGAAGCCAGTCAACAGCTGGCCAGTAGTAATGTAGTCAGATACTGGTGCATGTGACCCCAGACTTTAGAAATTATGTGACATTTATACACCAAATCTTCTTGTCTAATTGGCTGAACAAATCAATTATGATAAAAATAAAACTAATAAAAGAGACCCTTTTTCATTTATTTAACAGAATATCCAAAGACCATATTGTCATACTCATAAGACTCTTGTCTAATCACTAGTTTCCATTACTGTCCTGTATAACTAGTAAGTGTATCTTTTCTTAATCCTCCTCTTTTTGTGAATTAACTCCTTCTTGGTAAGTCTAATATCTCGTGTTAGTGAATACTGCTGTCAGTCATTAAGCTTGTCTTCTCTGCAGGAAACTACCGCACGCACTTTGTGAAGAGTCCCTGTGTGCTCCTCAAGGCTGAGGGGCATCCTCCCTGTGAGGAGCAAAAATCCAATTCTTGTTTATATAAAATTAACCGCCACCCCCTTCACCTTCAGTATTTAACCAAAGCTTACTGACTGCTCTCGACTGGTTTCATTCTTGCTTTCCCCTCGCATTTCGTCTGTAGAAAATGTCCAGGCAACACCAGTAAAATCAAAGGCTATCTCTCCCTCCACACACAGTCTCTGCTGTCGGCTGGCTGGAAGTGCCCAGGCCTTCCTTGTGTGGACTGTTTAGGTCTATTCATGTTTCAACATTAGAGAGTCTAGGCTTTTGCTCTGTAACTAATAAATGTGTTCTTTGTATATTTTAGTCTTTGCTAAATACGATGTCTTCTTTTCATACTAGTTTACATAAATCGCTTGTCTCTTTAAAATGTGGCAAGGTATTGGAGACCGTTGATGGCTGTAGTGCACATAGGGAAGTCACACTTGGCTCTTAGCTCACGAACACCACTCCCTGCAGTAGTGAAAAGCACAATTACTTCATCATAGTCTTAACTACTACTGGCAATGGCTGAAGTCTTGTGAGCCATCAGGCAGTCAGGCATTGGTCAAGCCTGAAAATGCTGGAGTAGATAGAGTCTGCAGTCCTTAGAAACAGTGTGACTTATTTACATTTGCACTGTAATTTCTGTAGACCAGTGCAAGGAAGTGTATGTGATTACAAATATGAAATGAGTGTCCCCAGTTACCTGTGTATTATATCACGATACTGTCTAAGCCTCATGGAAACTTCCGGAATCGTGTGATCATGTTTATATTTCCATCTTCCTTTAGTTTAGTCAGCCACGGACGTGATCGAGCATCTGCTATGTGTTAGGCCCCAAGCAGGAGGTACGGACCATAGAGGTAACAGTCTAACGTGATAAAAGTGAGGACCCAGAGCTAGAACTGTAGAGTGATTCACCATTGCCACAGGTGACAAGTGTAGGGAGCTACAGGACTGACTGCCACCAGAGTCCTAGTCACTTCCTCCTCTGCCCTTGTGAGGTACTTGTTATCCACTGCTGGCTACTTCAGTCACATGAAACAGTCTTGATTGTCACCCTAAAATTTGTAGCATGCTAATTTTAGCAAAAAGACCAAAGAACTTTGTTTGTGGCTAATTATTAAATTATTTTAATTAAATTTAATAAGTTTAATTGCAAAAAATTATTTTTAAATGAAATTTAAAATTAGTGTTAACATATCTTCAACTTTCTTAAACTGAATTTGAAGCTGATTACTTTCTGCAATTGTTACTATCCTTTATAAAATCTAGTTCATTCAACATTTTGCAACAATTCGTTGCCAATTTCATTAGAATTACTTATGTCTCCCACTCCCTTTTATCTCCCTCCCACCCCTGCCAACCCTGTCCTCGTCACTACAAAACCCTTTCCCAAAGCTGTGTCTGTCTTGTTTTATGACACACTGAGTTTAACTGGGCTCGTCTGTGTGATCATGGGTTTGGAACTGTCCATTGGAGCCTGCTGGGCTCACCAGTGGGTACAGCTGAACAAGTGACTCCCCTTCTCCCAGCGTCTATCAGTAGCCAATAGTTAGGGGACCCATGACCCCCTCTTCTCTTTATGACTGTTGACGGGGCCGGTTGTGCACTGTGAATTCAGGACTCCAGTAGCTGTGCTGTAGTCAGAAGACTTTTCATAGCCCTGTCTGTCTTCTGCCCTCTCTTCTAGAGTGGCTCTGCAGGGGAGGCATAAAATACCTGCGTACGGCTGACCTCCCGTCCATCAGCTATTCTCAGCAGCTTGAGTAGCCATTGAAGCATGATTAATAAAAACTCAGAGACAGAAATTGGAGTTCAACCTGAAGGTCAGAGAGGCAAAACAGCCAGCCACTGGCTCTTACCTCGACCTCAGTCTGAAAATGGAGATTCTCCCTCCAGGAATCTCAGAATGAGCCTGAGACTGAGAGCTGTCTCCTCCCATTTTATATTCTGGGATTAAGGGCATGCACCACTATCGATTGCCTGGTTTCTATGATAAACTAGTGTGGCTACTGGGATTAAAGGTGTGCTTGTCATTGCTGCCTGGTCTGTAAGACTGGCCAGTGTGGCTGTTTTATTTTTCTGATCCTCAGGCAAGCTTCACTATTAAAATACAAATGAAATGCCATGGATTTCTTTATTCACTGCCAAGAGAGACTTCGCTGATAAAGCTTAGACTAACTTTTATCTTGTCTGCAGGTGTAAACAAAGGGCTTTAGCAGACAGCTTAAGCTGTGCCAATTTAACTACATAGTTATCAGTCCCTGCTAGGGCTTATGACTTCCCCAGCCATGTGCTCTGACCATTTTTCAAATATTTGCTAGACATAAAATGCATGTTCTATAATTCCATGACTTATTGAAATATATGTAAATCCAGAGACCCCACATTGAGATGGGCTTAGCCTTGTCCCAGACTGCTCCACCCTAAAGAGACAAAGGTAAGTGAGAGGTCAGGTATTGTACCGGAAAGAAAAAGAAACCATTATTATTAGCTGGAAGCAAGAATTTTTTTCATTTTTATTTATTTATTATGTATACACAGTGTTCTACCTGCATGTGTCCCTGCAGGCCAGAAGAGGGCACCAACTCTCATTGCAGTGGTTGTGAGCCACCATGTAGATGCTGGGAATTGAACTCAGGACCTCTGGAAGAGCAGTTAGTGTTCTTAACCTCTGAGCCATCTCTCCAACCCCTGGTAACAAGAGTGTTAAGTGAAAAGTTTGCGTTTTCATCAAGTTTATGCAGCGTTCCTTCAGGCACATGCAGGTCGTTGTGAATGTGAGACACCTTCATCTCCATCTGTTCACCACCATCTGGTAATGCTTCTCCCTGAATCTGTCCTTCCTGCTGCCTCAGCTAGCACTGAGATGACAGAGGGAAGTGATGGACGTGTGACCAGCATGCAGAGATTGCAATCTTGGCATGAATTCCCACATTACTAAACAGAGCAAAGCTAGAATGTCATTTTCTTCTATTTAGCATCATTAGGTTTGAGCCATGTGAAGGGAACTAACGTGGCCTGCAAGACCCTCTAGGAACTTGCAGGGTGCAAACTGGCTCAGGCCAGACCTTCTGGACTGGAACCTGCACCTGCAAGGAGCTAACCCTCACCTTTACAAAGGAGGACTTTCCTTTGTAAAACTGGGAAAAGAACTCATTTATTGGCAGTCATTAAAATTTTAAATTATGTAGAAGAAAAACGTTTGAAGCATGTGATTTCTTTTAAAGTCACAATGAGGGGTCAGTTGGGAAAGGAGTCTTTTTATACTATATCAAAATGTTAATGGGACATATGTCTTCTACCCCAGCAAAGCTTCATTTTCTTATATTGGCAGAAACATGAAGCACATCAGTCAGTTTTATCTAATTTTGATTCCATATGTTCTGCCCACTAAACAAAGTGTGACATATTATCCCTTACTCTTTTGTTTGTATGTATTTATAGCTAAGTAGCCTTGGCCTTTTTCCTTACTGTAGCTAATGTGAAGGCACTCTGCCGAGGCCCGAGCTGGCTTCATCTGCCATTGATGGAACCAAAGCCAACATGTCCTTTCTAAACAGTACTGCCCAGATCTAACCAGAGTCTGGCAATTTTAACTCATTGCTGAAAGTCGAGTTCAAAACAAGTATTTGTCAGTGTAGTGATGCGTGGTTTAGAAAATAAACTTTAGAGTGTATTAATAATCATATTTGCCACTAGGGGTCAGTAAAGCCCTGTGTCAAAGTGAACTTGAGCTCAACTTCATGTGTAATTTAATGGCCATCAGAAAGCTCGATATGCAGATAAATTTCATTGTGTATTTGTGCCACATTATTCAGCCCTAGAGAGGAATGAAATCCTCACATAGGTAGGAAAAGGGACGCAGCTGTTATTATTGTTATGTTGAACAAAATAAGACAGACTCAGAAAGACAGGTGCCAAATTTTTCTCTTACATGTAGACTTTAGCTTTAAATTTGTGTGTGTATAGATGTGTTTGTGTGGCTGTGTGTGTGACTGTGTGTATATCTGTGTATGTGGCTGTGTGTTTATCTGTGTGTGTGTAGCTGTGTGTGTAGCTGTGTGTGGCTGTGTGTGTAAGGTAGGAAAGGAACTGAGGGGCAGGGACATGGTGTAAGGAAGGTGGGGGGTAAGGAAAGAGCAATCGATGTGAGGTGAAAGCAGAAGAGAGAAGGGGAGAGAGGGACCGGGAGGAGAGTGTGGGAAGGGGATGAGTAAGGACCATGTATAATGACATAGATGTTGGAAATGTCATAATGAGCCTCATTGTTTTGTGTGCTGATTCAATAACTTGTAGGGAAAACATGTAAAAATGTTTTGCAGCCCTTGGCGGTCCAGACTCCCACTGAGTAGTTGTCTTGCTTTAACATTGTCTGCCAGCTTTGCCTGGGGTGCCAGAGCCTTAAAATGGTTATTTAGGTTGGGCATCTGTACTCGCTACCTTCAGTCTTCACCTCAGTCTGGATACGTAAGAGATGGTCTTCTTATCTGCTACTTTTTTTTCCCTCCAAAACAGGGTTTCTCTGTGTAGCTTTGGAGCCTGTCCTGGAACTCACTCTGTAGATCAGGCTGGCCTAGAACTCACAGAGATCCACCTGCCTCTGCCTCCCAAGTCTGGGATTAAAGGCATCCCATCGCCGGGCTAGCTACTCTTTTTAATTACCACCTCTATGAGGTCAGAGGATCACTCTGGGAACCAGTTCTCCCCTATCACAGTGAGCATCTTAGGGATCGAAAGTAAATTGTCAGACATGGTGGCCAGCACCGTCACATGCTAAGTGACCTCACAGCCCAAACCTTGCTTTATTCACTGTAAAAATGTGGGAGTTTTACTTCATGAGCTAGGAACAGTTCTGTCTCCCCGGCCCAGGCAGTGGTAAATGCCTTGTCAATGACTTGCTCTCCACATTTGTCTTTGGGAGTGTTTGTTTACCAAAATAAAAGCTATCCCAGAGCCAGACAACGGCAACTGCCATCAAGCCTGACACTCAAATTCAAGCTTGGGGACCCACACAGTAGGAGCACAGGGATGATTCCTGGGAGTTGTCACCTGACCTCTACATAGGTTCTGTGGCATGAACATGTCACACAAACACACACGCACATGCATGCACATGTACATGCATACACATGTACACTAAATATTAAAAATGTTTAAAGCTGTCCCATCGTTAACTTTGGTTGTCATGGAGCATGATTATGGCAGGGGGGCAGAACTTTCTTATCACACAGCACAGTACATCCCAGTAAGTGTCTCTCTTTTCCTTACGTGTTCCCTGGGTGAACTGTCACTCTAGGCTGTCCCCATCGGCACTACTTTCCAACCTCTCGACCTCTGCTATGCAGCTGCTACCGTGAGCTTCCGTTGACTCGGGTTCCTCCCGTGTCCTTGCTCATCTGCTGTTGCAGCTGTGACCTAACATGCTAAGGAGGACATAGGACTATCATCCCCATGATTTAGATAGCACCAGTGAACACCGTCTATCTCCAGTACATACACACACATCTTCTAGAACAGTGCTTCTCAACCTGTGAGGTCAAACAGACCTTTCACAGGGGTCTCCTAAGACCACTGGAAAACACAGATATTCATATTACAATTGATAACAGAAGCAAAATTGCAATTATGAGGTACCAACAAAACTAATTTTATGGTTAGGGTCATCACAACATGAGGAACTGTATTAGGGGTCACAGCACTAGGAAGGTTGGGAGCACTGTTTTAGAGAACAGGGAGAGGGTCAGAATGATTCTGAGTAACTGCAGCACCACAAAGTCTACACACAGTGCCTTGAACCCTCATGGTCTACTCTTGAGATATACTAACCATTTTAATTTTTGGTAAATAACTCCACAGCAAGTTAAAGATGATATTTTCATTTCATGAAAATGAAAAAAAAATAAAATTTATGTCCTTGGCAATGCTTAAGCATACTTGGGCAACCCATATATGTCGGTTCTGTTGAGCTTGTCTATGTTAGGTTTCATGATGAGAGTAACCTCTTCCTCAAAGGTGACATATAAGGTTACCTTATTGCTACGAGAATACTCATAGAGCTTAACAGTCACAAGAGGAAAGGCATAGAAAGATGTCTCCTAAAGTATAGCAGTCTAGGCTAAAACAAAACATTCTTCCGTTCATCCTAAACATACCATTATATGAAGGGACAGCTCAGGAATTAGCACATATGAGGGACACACTGCCACCTCAAATGGTAGAATAAGGATTCTCAGAACTGCTCCTCCACAAAAGCAGCAGGGGCAGCAGGCAAAAATTACCCAGATCAGCGTGTTTGAAAGTCTGGACTTTAAACAAAGACTTGCAGCGATGAAGCCTGCTTGTTATTGGAAGCAGTGGCTCTCAGAACAGCAAACTCCATGGCATTTGTCCTGTCTCAGTCTTGTTTCAGCCCCATGGCCATGGAGACCAGTGGACTCAGGCCATAGCAGTTAACACAAGAAGTAGCCTAGCAGCCACTGAAGGGAGTAAAATAGGCTCAATGTCCCTCAAAGCCACATTCCAAAGACACTTGTCACTATTTGACTTTGTGTCAGCTCCCTGGAAGAGCCCATTTTTAGGGCCTGACTTTATTTGATTTGACTCAGAGTTTGCTCATTAACGAAGGTCCTAACACCAGGGCATTGTTGTTCCATAGTTTAGACCAGGAGTGAGTGTGACATTTACCTAAGATGGAGACAGCAGCAGGAGAGGAAGAGGAGGATAAAAACCAGGTGGATGTGAAGGCCATGGGGAACTTTGAAACCTGTAGATTCCTGGGAATCTGTTTGTAGGGTGACTGTGCATGCCCAGGGAAAACTTGAGATGGCATGGATCACTCATCTCTGACTGACCTTGATACAAGCAGGAATTGAAGGCAGACCCCAACCCATACAGGACCTCTCAGCAAAGGGTAGAAGACAGTGATTCACTCGAGTCTCTAGAATCAGCCAGACAGCATGGTGGGCAAAGCCACTTGCACCAAGACTCACATAGTGGAGGGAGAGTGCTGACTCCTGCGTGTTGTCCTCTGCCTTCCTTAGGCACAGTAGTGTGCTCCCCGCCCCCACACAGAATGTTTTCTTAAAAAAACATTGCTAGGGGCGGAAATGGAAACTTTTATAATTTAATAAACTTTGAAAAAAAACATTGCTAATATGTATTCTAGTTGCTAACCCACTAACTTTACTCAACAGACCAGTGGTCAGAAATGTCAGAGAAGAGAATTTAACAGTATTTTTGCAGGAAGGTTATTATAATATAAATAAAATATAATATAAAAACCACAACAAAAACTCAAAGTAGAAGTAGAACAAGAATCTATCTTCTATTTATTCAAAATGTCCAGTACTTACCCCCCAAAATTACAAAACATACAAAAATCAGAAAGTATATTGGGCAGTCTGCAGAAGCTGTGTGAGAAAGTCCAGATTTTCAGATTACCAGAAAAGAATGCCTGAGTCATCTACATACTCAAAGAGCTGAAGGAAACAAAAATGTCCAGAACTGAAGTTTGAGCCTACAGTCTCATCAAATAGCAAAATCAGTGGAAAGTTAGAACCAGTGGGGCTGGAGAGATGGCTCAGAGGTAAGAACATTTGCTGCTCTTCAGAGGATCAAGGTTCAGGACCTAGTCATTCGCATGGTGGCTCATAATAGTCTGCAGCACCAGTCCCAGGGGGATCTGACACTGTCTTCTGGCCTCTTCAGACACCAGATCTAAATCTAAGCAAAACACCCATATACAGAAAGTAAAAATGAAATCTTAAAAAAAAAAAATAGGAGTCAAAACCAAGAAGAACCAAGTGGGAATTCTGATGTTCAAAAAGTACAGTACAGTTACTGAAATGAAAACTTCTTTCCAGGACTTCCAAAACAACTTTGATCTGCAGAAGAAAGAATCCCTGAAACTGAAATTAAGTCAAATAAAATAAGTCCACTCTGAGGAACAGAGGCAAAGATGAGTGAAGGAAAACAAAAAGAGCTTTGAAGACTTGTACAAAGTTATCAGGCATACCAGGATGTGCACAGAGCTCCAGAAACCTATGCAAAGCCATCTCAGGCAAACCAGAGTGTGCACAAAGCCCTGGAGACCTGTGCAAAGCCGTCAGGCATACCAGGGTGTGCACAGCACCTCGAAGACCTGTGCAAAACCGTCAGGCATACCAGGGTGTGCACAGAGTCCTGAAGAGATATGCAAAGCTGTCAGGCATAGCAGGAAATGCACAGAGCCCCAGAGACCTGTGCAGAGCTGTCAGGTGTACCAAGATGTGCACAGGGAATACCAGATGGAAAGAAGAGAAAGAGTCCAGAAGAGGATTTGAAGACACATGGCTAAAAAATAACACATGGTGGAAGATAGTGGGTTTCCACATCCAAGAGGCTCAGGGAACTCTCCAGAGAATAAAGACATCTACATGGGATGTGCCGAAGCCTTCCAAGAGAACAAGGAACTCACAACGGTAGCAGGACAAACATGATCTATCATGTGCATGTGTTCTCAGATTATCAACTGACTTTACAACATACAGACACTGTGGGGGTCAGAAGGCAGTGAGACATAGGTGTGTTCAAGACATAAAGACTAATGGTCATAGTTCTGTCTGTAACAGTGAAACTGCACTTCAAAATGATCAAAAACTAAGACATTGCCAGAGAGTAAAAAACTGATCAGTCCCAACACACCTCATAGACTCATTGTACACAAAAGAGCTATGGCGAGTAGCTCTATCATACAGGAACTACTAAATGCTGAAGGGAAAGATAATAACTCAGATCACACAAATAAAAAGCATCAACAAAAAAAACATATGAAAAACTTTTTTAAAAAATCGGGCAATGGCACACACCTTTAATCCCAGCACTCGAGAGGTAGAGGCAGGAAGATCTCTGTGAGTTTGAGGCCAGCCTGGTCTACAGGAGCTAGTTCCAGGACAGGCTCCAAAGCTGTTAGACAGAGAAACCCTGTCTCCAAGAACCAAAAGAGAGAAAAAGAAAAAGAAAAAAAAAAGAAAAAAACTGCATCACAGTGGTCATTATAAAACTATCTGCCGGCTCCTAATGTATCAAGGTGTAATTTTCAGATTAGCCATACAAAGGCAGAGAAACAGGATGATACTAGAGGGAAGTGTTCTTATACTATTAAAATTAAGCCTGTAGTAATTTGAAGTGAATTACATTCAATTAAAAAGTGAACTGTAATCCCCAAAGCAGCCACTAAAAAAATAACTTTTAAAGAGAATAATAAAAAGGACAAAAGTATTATATTGTGTAGTTGAAGACATGCATTTAAAGCAAAAATGGGGTAATAATGGAGGAATAGAAGCACAAAAATACTTAAGACCTGTGAGAAAAGGGGCAAAAAGGCAGATGATGTCTTATAAGCAATTACATTAAATGGTTTAAACACCCAGCCTTCAGAAAGCAACAGCTAGCAGATTATATAATAAAATGACCCAACCATCTACTGTCTGCGAGAGACACACTTAGCACAGCTGGGACTCCCTGTTTAAGCTGCGCGCCCAGGAAAGCCTGAGATTCAACCACACAAATAAGTTGGAAGTAAAAGTATGGAAATCAAGACAAAAACTGAAGCCACACCACAGCTGGAGAGGCTCTTGCCGACAGATCATGGATCACACTTAGACCCCATTGCTGTGACAGACACCGGTGGCAGTTACACAGAGCACATGCTTACTTTGGGCCGCAGTTTCAGAGGTGTTAGTCTGTAGTCACTCGAGTCCATTGTGTGGACCCGAACTGAGATGTGGTAAAATAGCAGGGAGCACAGGCTTCTCACCTCGTGGCAGCCAGGAAAACCAGAGAGAAGAGGAGGAAGGATCTTAGAACCAGATACGCCCCTCCCAGACATGCCCCTCCAAACGTTTCTAGCACCTCCTTAAAGAGCACTTCCAGCTGGAGAGCAGGCCTTCTGCATGGCCTGTACAGAGCCGAATAGTCAGCCACAGCATCGACTTTAAGAGTACAAGAAAGAAACCATCTGAGGATGCTAATTCTTCCACGAGGAAAGCACAACACCTAAAATGTGTTTACACCTATGAGTGTGTGAGAATTAAACTCTCAAATCCAAGAATGAGAATTGTCAAATACCTTTCTGTCATTGAAGCTTTTTGGATTTTGTTTTGTTTTGTCTTGTTTTTATCTTTCGCTATCTTCAGATTTTTATTTTTAAATCAAACCCCTATTTGAACAGTGGATAATATAACTTAGTGGAAGATCAAGAAGTGTCTGGTGTAAACTCCTTTATGGACCAATAACCGTAGATATCATCGAGCACGCCCCTCACTCACAGAGCATGTACAGAGTTTCCCGACCATGTTAAAGATGCAGGACAAAGATAAACGCCAGCAAAGGAGGGAAAGGGGAGCCCTTGCACACTGTTGCTGAGACGGTAAACTGCGACAGACACCATGGAAAGAGTATGTGGATCCTTAGAACAAACAGAACTACTGATCAGCCAACAATCTGACACTCAGTATTCATCCAAAGGAGCGAAGGGGTCAGACCAGCACCTGCACCCCCATCATGGCACTGCTCACAGGAGACAAGATGCCAAGCCAGCCTAGGGGTCCACTGACAGACGGATGGACTTTTAAAATGGGATATATGTGTATAATGCTGTAGTATGCAGCCACACAAATTCTGTCATTTGTAGCAGCGTGGATGGTATGGAGAGACCACGTTACATGAAACCAGGCACAGAAAAAGGCATACACATCTTCGTGATCTAGAAGCTGAATTTTTAATCTTCTAAATATAGAGACTCTCGGAGTGGATACTGGTGGGTGGGAAGGATAAAGGGGCAGAAGAAAACATTAGCTATTGAGTGCAAAGCTACAGTTGTAGAGTATTTAGTGTTCCAAACAGAGCACAGTTGGGAGATTATAGATTGTAACAGATTATTAGACATTTGTAAATGAAGGGAGTGTGCACATAATAAAATATTTATTTAAAAAAATAAGTGAAGGGAAGTTAAAGGCTTCCAACAGAAATGTGTGATAAATGTGAGGATATAGAAATGCTAATTAATTTGATCATTACAGATCACATACATATATCAAGCTATCACACCACCTCCCATAAATATGTTATTAAATATGCCAATAGAAATCAACTTACCTGTCATAGAAAAAAAAAGACAGAACATATTCTAAAGAGAAAACTGCATCCTAGGCCAAGATGTACCAGCTCCTGAAACTAGCAATGGCAGTCTTTAAACAGGTTCGAAATGTCTCTGATGAAGTAAAGCAAAAATGAAGTGAAGAACAAAATATCTCAGCGTTGAATTACCAGTAGGTATTCTCGAGCTGAGAAACAGTCCCAGCCTCCCAATTGTTCGCTAAACAAACCCAGCTCAAGGGTCACTACTCCGCGAAGCCTTCTCGGGGCTCCAGCATCCAGCAGCACACACGTTGCTCATGGGAAGGAGGGGAACTCATGAAGAAAAGAGTAGATGCAAGGACAGTTCCCCTCTGTGCAGTCAGTGACTGACTGTGGCTGAGCAGAGCTGGCCTTAGTGATTCCAGGAGAGGGACACTGGTCCTGCAGCCTTCAGTGGACATGACCTACCGCAGATAGAAGTACCATGCCTTCTTTGGCATAGTCAGGTCTTCGGACAATGAACCTTATTTCTATAGCTGTAGAACATAGGTGGGTCAGGGTTTCCAGCGAATTCTACCAGGATTTACTTCACTGTCTTAAGCCCTTGGCTACAGCCAGCCTCTGTGGAGCAGGGGCTGGACCCTTGTGACCACAGGCCACGAGTCCAGCCTCATCTCTGGAAGGCCAATCTGCAAGAGACGAATTCTGGATAAGTCCACTCTGACCTACATCCAGCCCCATATCCAAAGTGTGCCTCGTTCCTAGATGTCCCATCATCTAGGCCTTCGTAGCTCTGAAGCAGCACTACGGGCAGACCGTGGGCCACAGGGCCTGTTCCATCCATTGACTCTAATTGTTACCCGTGGGTCCAACTCCATGACTTGCGGGTGTCCTGTTTCACATTTGGTTTCCTACTGATGATCACCCACAGTGGCCATTTCCTTTACTTTTTGTCACACAGCTCAGAGAGCTAGCCTCAAGTTATGTGACCTTCAGAGCCACACAGAACCCAGTACTCACAAGGATTTCCAACAAGACTTGATTTTTCTGCGTCATAATCCTAAAGTTCTTCATCTTTAAGCAAGGGCTCTGTTCTCATTTGGCACAGAGTGCCTCAAATGGTGTATTCAGGCCTGTTCAGCCTACTGTACAACAGTAGGGTCGCATCCAGCCTTCTTCCGTGTTCCTGGATTTTTCTCCCTCATCACTGATGTTGACCCTATCCAACATGGCAGGGTAGGACACACCCATGACTGACCCTGTGTTTGAAGTGGCCTTGTCATCTAGAACCGCCACGGTCAGTCCAGTCCACTCAACATCAGTGACTTGGGAGTCTTACTAACCATTGGCCAAGCGTAACTGAGAATGGCTTCATTATGGTCAACTCAGTTACACAGAACCAAGAATGAAACCACTTGTAGAATGGAGGGGCCTTCTATATTCCACCAGAATATTCTGCCATCACAATGGAGGTTGCTTGTTCATAGTGAGCCCACGGAATGACCATGTATAATCACAAGAAGCAGTCGGTAGCCATTCTCCCGTTAGTGGACACTACTGTGTCACTGAAGCTGAACACAGCTCGCTTCTCAGAGACCCTGAGAATGGACTGCCGCAGAGCATTCTTGGATAGCATCTTGACAGGACGAGTGTGGCCTGCTCAGCTTCAGGGCCTGCAGTCCACGCCCAGCAGGCAGGCAGTCTCAGGCATGTTCCACAGTGTTATCGGCATTTACTGCCAGTGTTTACCAGTTTCACCTACCTGTGAGGCCCTTGAGGTACAATGTGTATGAATTCTCAGCATCCACGGGGATCTACAATATTTGTTGACTGAATAAATGAAAGGAGGATTAGCCAGGTGATGCTGACCTTAGTGTGGCCAGACTTCAATCCTATCAAGCCCAGTTCATTTGTTTCCTGTGTTTTTCTAGCCCCTTGATTTACAGATCACATGGGCTCCGGGCTTACCTCATTTCACAAGTCTCATTTTTAGCTGCTCAAATGACCGTTCCGTTCACTTACTTGTTTCATAGAACGCATAATTCTGTCATGTCAGCCAGGCTTTCAGGTCTTTCCAATGACTCCAATTCTCCCCGAGTCTGTTTTCCACTTGAGGTGGGTCACTAACACATTATTTCAGGGACTGGGGACGTGGCTCAGTCAGCAGAGTGCTTGCGTAGCAGGCCTTAGCCCTGGCTTTCATCCCCCCCAACACACACACACACACACACACACACACACACACACACACACACCACACACGCTAGATAAAGTGGGCGTAGTAGAGGATCAGAAGTCCAAGGTCATCCTCATCTACTTAATGAGCTCAAGGCTAGCCCTGGGCTATATGAGACCTCACCTCAATACCAAAACTATTACTACTAGCAATTTATTTTAGAGATTACTCACATCTTAAAATTCTTCAAAAATAATTTCCGGTTATCATGTGCCCTCCTTTTTAGTCGCCTCGCTGGGATGAGCCAAGGTGCTCTGTGCTGTAAAGGAGCCTGCCTACCACTGCTGGGTTCTCTGTCCCTTGCGGTAGGCTCCAGGTGTTTAGGTGGGGTGGGACTTCCTTCTCAAAGGAAGCAGGGTCCCAGAGGCCAAGCAGCATGTGGCCATGTGCTTTGTGCTGCCTGTCCTACAAGAAAGCACTGGCTTCCCGAGGCAGCAGGGGAGGAGACAGAACAGCAGGGTGCAGCCTGCGCGGGAGGTGCTGTG